ATCATCATCATCATCATTAGGAGCATATACATTTCGTTAATAATGGACGAATGACGATGTAGCACCTCCATAGAATAAGGACCCTAGAGGTGTATGATTGACTATCTCACCGCTCACATGAAACTATGAAAACACCGACATTGATGAGTGCGAAAACTACACCGGATGTGTCTGTGTATGTTGTGAACCTTCACTTGCCAAATAACCAGCACATAAACCCCCAAGCTGGATCTACAAGCATGTAAGTATAATATCTGCCATGAGGGGTTATAAAACTATACAGAAGTGGTGGCATTTGGTATGGAAGTGTTGGCGTCTGACCCGACTACAGTGCCATATGAAATAGCAAATCGCCTTTACGATATAAATGAATCCAGCCTCAACTAAATATGACCATACATGAGTAGGTATCTCTAACTTAAGGTTACGAATAAATGAATCTAATATACGGTCTCTCTCTCTCTCCTAATTTTATAAATATTATACAAATTAAAATATAAAATAATACTAAAAAATTAGATAAATAAAACATTCACAATAATTAAAATTATAACATAATTTAAAATTGTTATCGTATTAGAAAAATTGTTACGAGATATGATTCTCATCTAAACATAGCAAACCGCCTTTCATTTTATAACTGCAAAAAGTAATAAAAATTAGTATAATAAAATTGAATAAAATAATAAATTATTGATTAATTATAATAAAATAAAAATATTTTACCTTCTTAATAGAAAGATTGATGCCCAGAAGAATAAGAGAATTTAATATTTTAGTGTGGTTTGAGTGTAGTTTGGAGGTTGTGTTTGTGTGGTATTTATAGGAAGAGGGGAGACGGGCTCCCATAAATGTGGGAGACAGACGATTGGGGTATTGAAGGAAAGGTGCGGATCATGATCCACGCCTTCCGTACGTGTCAAAAACCCCACGAAAGCGCGAATCGCCATCTGCATCTTTCCTTACGTGGCGTCAGCTCGGACAGAATCCCACGAAAGCGTGGATGACGATTCACACCTTTTCTTATGTGGTGCCAGCTCGAACAGAACCCCTTGAAGACGCGAATAGTGATCCATGCTTTATTACCATAGTATCAGAAAAGGTGTTATATCAGTAATAAAAGGGGTAAGGTGGCTGATAGGTAATTATTAATGGTACAATGATATTTCGGTAAAAACGCATGTTGTTCCTTTGTTATCGCTTTCGGATGCGGCTCAAGGTGTTCAAGCAGTAGGAGAATCGGTGCAAGCGTTTTATGCTTTTATACATACGTGGAAAGAGAGAGGAGTTGAGATTTGGGATGCAAAGAGGATAATGGGTGGTTTTCAGAAACTAGGGTGGTTTCGTCAAAAGAGTTGTCGATTTGCCATTGGCTTAAACGCCTGCCACAGTCGTTATTGTAATCCCCCAATGTAAAAAAACCAGTTTTATAAATGTTTAATATAAAAATAAATATGAAAATTATATATTTTTTAAAAACTATTATATATTTTTTAAAAATATCATTTTTAAAAATATAAACGTGACATGTGTGATATTTTTAAAAAATAAAAAATATAAACGTGACGTGTAATTTGACGATTTTTTTAAACAATATACATCTAAAAGTGTAATAGAAAAAACAGTAGACATATTTTAACAAAAAAATTATGCACCGATAATAAATTTTAAGTATAGCTTATACATTTATTTTATATTAAGCCTAGATAAAATAGTTCTTCAAAACATCGATAATAACTCGAAATTTCTTTACAAAATGAAACCACTTAATAATGATTTTATGAATAATATATGTCAAACTAGATTATAATTGCATCTAATTAGGCCCAAAATTTGACCTAAAGAATATAATTGTCAACACCACACGATCCACGATCCATGTACGTCTCGAGTCAACCCTTATGTGTTACTCCATAATTCCTCACTCCTACCTCAAGGAGAAGTTATTTTATGATTTCGGCTCACTATATTATCTATGATTTTAGTAAATAAGAGTTGTAAATTTTAAAATAAATTTCAAATAAATGTACACTTTTTATGTACATGTAGAAATAGGTGAATATTAACCTCAAAAAATGAAATAATTTTTTTTATTAATTAGAACTATTAATAACATAATGAGTCGAGATCATCTAATAATTTTTCCTCCTCGAACTAGATCCTCAAGGGCTAAGTCCATGTACAACGAACGATATGAAACATGCGATCCCGTAAAATTACTCCACGTACTTAACTAACAACCGTATTTGAAAATATCACATCAATTTCTAATTTTTAATAATTGATTTGGTGTAAAAATCTCTCGACCGTCGATTAAAAATAATATTACGAAGCAGTATATCAAGATGGGTATTTAAAATATTACAAGCATGATATTATTCAGTAAAATAAAATTTATATATGTTTAAAAATTTTCGATAATAATGCGATGTGATTTTAAAATATCACATCATAGAAGACTTCAAATATAAATTAAAGGGGCAGTTAAAAATGCTATATGGTTAAAGCCTTCAAACCATGTCCATAGTGGCTAGGGATGGCAACGGGTCGGATTCGGGCCGGATATTGGTCTCTCGTTCCCGTCCCTATTTAAAAAATTGATATCTGTCCCCGTTTAAAAAATTGCGGAGATTTAAACGGGGATCCCCGTCGGGTAATCGGGGAAAATCGTGTGGGAACGGGTATCTCCGTTTAGCATAAACGGTTATTTAAACGGGTATAAGGTCGGGTATTGGGTCGGGAATCGGGCCGGGTATATATATATATATATTTAAATTAAATATATAAATATATATTTTTATTTAAATTAAATTTATTAATATTATATATATATATATATAAATAATTATTTTTAATATTTATCGGGTTGGGTATCGGGGCGGGTAATCGGGGAGGGTAATCGGGTAATCGGGGCGGGGATTACCAAACCCGTCCCCGTCCCCGTTTAAAATAAATGGGTTTTCCCCGTCCCCGTCCCCGTTTATCATCCCCGAACCTGACCCGTTTAATTCGATTTTCGGTTTTCCTCGTCGGATTCGAGTTTTTTTGTCATCCCTAATCGTGGCTAGTTTTAGGCTCGGGGTAAAAATAAAAAAATAGATCCTTAATATAAAAAATTAAGAAATATGTAATTTAAAAATTTTATTAGATTTTTTTATTAAATTAAAAAATAGTAATTAATTACAATATAAAAGATGTCAAAAAAATATATTTAAGAATATAAATACTTATAAAAAAATATTACATTCAATCATTTTTTTATGTAAAATCATTGATAATAGTTTCAATATCGATGTTTTTAACATATTTTTCTCAATATATAACATAGCATTTGAAAATGAAAGAACGACCTTATCTATAATTAAAAAATATATAAAATTAAAAAAAAGAATTTGAAAACGTGATTTACCTATTATTTTAAGAATAATCTTCAATATGATTCAAGCACCATAATTGATAATAAACAAGTGTGACTTTATGTGTGAGAGAAATATGATAAATTAAAAAATGAAAATAATAATTTTCAGATGAATCGTGAAACATGAAAGAAAAAATAAGCATGCTAATTATACTTAATTTCTTTTTCTCTCGTTAAGTTTTGAAAAAAAATAACGTTAATATTTTTTTTCATTGATATGAAAAATCGAAAAAAGAGATTTGGTGAATTGATAGTGTAAATTTAGAAAGACCAAAACTAAAGAGTTCAATTGATTTTTTTTTTAAATTTTGAGAAATAAATATTAAATTAGAATTTTATGGAAGAACATTTTATTAACGTCAATATAAAATTCAATAAATATAATTTACACCTTAATAAATTCATGGGTTCTATTATTTTATTGAGTAAATTACATGTTTAGTACATATATTATCAATTTTGGTATGATTTAATATCTAAATTTTCAATATTTTCAAAATCATACATAAAATTTAGTTTTTGTTTCATTTTAATACCCATCGTTAAAAACTTTAGTTTTTTTATTTCATTTTAGTACCCATTCAAAATTTAATTTCAAGTTTTAATTTTTTTAAAATGAAATGAAAACTAAACGTTAGATATGATTTTGAAAAAATTAACAGTTTAGGTACTAAAACATATCAAAACTAATAATTTAGATAATAAATTCCATTCACCGGATAATCTCATATTACCTGAACCAAACACCCCATAATAGGAAAACCCCCCTAAACCCCCTTATCTCTTTTGTCAAAACCACCCTTTCTGACTACGACCACTGTCGTCAACATAGTCCATGTCATACTCCTAGTTATACGCCGTCGTAGTTGTCGCCGATTGGCTGTCGGAATCGCGTGGGACCACGATGTTCTTTCTAAGTTTTGCAAGGTATAAAACATCGATTTGTTGGGGCGACGTTCGACATGGGTGTATGGGTTGAAATGAAGGTTTTCAAAGTCTTAGGTTTATTTCAAATATTTTGTGTTTTTTTAAATTATATAATTCTAATTTTTTAATTTTAAATAAAATTTTCAAATTACCAGATTGTGACACATGTCACTTAACGAGAAAAATTAACACTGTTGACAGCCTGAACACCTAAAGTGATAACGTTTGTAACGTTAAGTACCGAGAAGAGTCAAAAAATAGTTTAAAAACCTATTTGGGAAAAGATGTATGGTTTGTACAATTATTTGGTATTAAGCCTTATAATAATTATAATATATCGATAAATTTAATTATTATTTTATAGATTTTAAAATTTATTAATAAAAGTAATCATTTAAATATAATTAAGTGACATATGATATGATTTACTCATTTTCTATTATCAATCCTGTTGGGCTAGGCTTAAGCACATTCTTCTTTTTATTAGGGGTTAGGGTTAGGGTTAGGGTTAGGGAGAAAAGAAACCCTCCATTGCAGTAGCGGCTGCTAAACATTTTGAGATTTTCTTCAAAACATTTCCCCCTTTTCCTACTTTTTGAAAAAACCCTTTGATTATCTCATCTTAGATTTGTTGGTATTTGTCTTTTGAAAGCAGGAGGAGCGGCCTTCGCACGGGAAAACAAGTGTCAGATGTGAAAAATGTTACGCACTCATCGATCTCCGATGTCAAATCGAGTCGTTCCGAGAAGAAACTAAGGATGGAACCGGATACCGAGAACGGGAATGCTGAGAAAGAAGTTTGTTTAGAAACAGATTCCATAAGGGAAGATGTCGGTTTAGGAACGGAGCAATCAAGTGGTTCGCGTAGGAAGGAGAAGAGGAATGACATTTCCTCCGTTGATGAAAAGCAAAGTGATTCTCTCGTTGAATCTGAAGCCAACCCATTAATGAAGGATACAATTTCGGAAAGAGATTCAAGCGTGCGGACCCCGGAGAGTCCATTGAATGAACAATCGGCTCTTTCAGAAACGAATCCAAAGAGTAAAATGGCTAAATATGGGGAATTGGAGGACTTGAATGCAAAAGATGGGGAAGGGAACTCTTTGATAGATGAAAAGAAGGTAAGCTTTTCTTGTTTGGAATCCAAAATGAGTGTTAGTTTAGAGTCTGGGCTGAAGAAGAAAGGGGAAAGCTCAGGCTTAGAGATTCTGGAAAGTTGCAGTTTAGGGTCTCGGCTGAAGGAGAGTCAATTGAATGAACAATTCGCCCATTCCGATTCGAAACAAAAGAGGGAGGATGTTGAGATAGAAACCAAGATGGAAGAACTTGTTCCCTCACCCTTGAATTTGGCTGTCACAAAACACAATGTTACACTAACAGCTAATGCTTTTCCTTTGAACTTGGCAGTCACAACAGACGATGTTATACCAACAGCTAAGGTTTCAGAGGTAACATTGGGCAACAGCACAGCTTTTGCAAAAGATGATGTTACACTAGAATCTAATGTTTCTCTTTTGAACTTGGCTGTCGCTGAAGATGATGCTACACCAAGAGCTAATGTCAAAGAGAACAATTTCTCACCAACGTTGCACCCTTCATTTCAAAGAAATTGTATTAGCCGTCCTAAGAAAAAGCTTCTTGTTCTTGATTTGAATGGAATTCTTGTAGATGTTGTTCAAATACCATGTAAACTCGAGCCACATGCCATAGTGAATGGGAAAGGAGGTAATATACGGTCATTAAAGTAGATCTGGAATTTCTGTTTGCCTTCTATTAATCTAACTTTAACCAGGGTCCATTTTTTTTTACCAGTTTTCAGGAGACCTTTTTGTGATGAATTTCTCGACTTTTGCTTTATGACATTTAATGTCGGAATCTGGTCATCAAGAGTTCAGTATGCTCCTGCCTTTGCTTGAGAATTGTATTCCATGGTTAACTGTTTTTTTTTCTTTGAGCATTGCTGAGTTAGATAAGTGAACCATAGAATGCAGTATTGCTTCATAAATGACATTATTGACATTATGCCTTGACCATTTTACTATTAATTGTTGTTGCAGTAAAAATGTGACGGGGGTGCTTGATCTTCTTATGAATGAAGAACAGAGACGTGAACTGGTTTTCTGTTATGTAAGTGTATTCCTTGTGGTATTTAACTATTACTGATAGATGGGGTAATTGCCAAAGTTTTGTTTAGCTAATTAGTGATCGTATCATTTCCTTGTCTTTTTATTGTCTATATGGCCTTCAATCAATGAACTACATTTTCATGATTAGTTAATCAAGTAAGGAGGTTTTATCTTTTGGTAATTTCCGTTCCGTTGATATTTTGTAACTGATAATGATTAGTTTGTGGTTTTTTAAGATATAAATGACATACTGATACTGAACTGTAGACTATACAAGTTGTATATTATTCTAATTAGAATTCTATGTACTCGTATGTCTTCTTAAATACTAATACATCTATATTTATGAACATAAAATATATACTAAAACACATAAAAGTAATACCCAATAGCTTTAAACCCATCCAATTTAGCCAATTGAATGAAAAGTAAGAATGCCCAAGATTTAAGTAATCTAGCTTGGTGACCTTTCCATATTGTGTTTTAAACTAATAATATATGTTTCTTTTGGCTTGTTCTAAAACAAATATACGTTTCATCAACATCATAGTAGGCATTGTTGTTCTATCAACATCTGCTTATGGGGTTGCCTGATATTAGTGACTTCCTCATTGGAATTCTTTCTCCTTTTCAGTGTCTTTGCTTAGCATCCAACCTAAAGCTGATTTTTCTACTGTTAAATCCTCAAGGTTTCCCCTAGATGACTGCTTTGTTAGTGCAATTACTAAGTAATTGAAAGTCATGTTCTAGGCAAATTAGTCATGGAACTGTTAGATTCTACTCTCTGGAATTTCTCATGGTATACTATTGTTTTTTTTAGCTGCAATACTATGTTATCTAGCTATTGTAGCCATTATTTGAGAAATATATATAAAATGCATATTTCTAGAACAAGCTTAAAGATTTGACTTTAGGGTACACCAAAGTCTGCTGACAACTTGAAATGCAATGTCTGCTGTTATACAAGCATAGGCTGAAATAATTTTCTGCTACCTTGCCATTAAGGGTTCTGCCTGACAAATGGACCTCATAGCCTATCCTATGTGATATAAATATTCTTGTTTATCATCTTTGGTAGAGGTTTGATCAACTGAATGCTGCTTCGCTCTTTTGTAACTACACCAATGGGTTTAAGTGCTGTGTATGATTTATTCATCTCAAGATGTGGGTTGAATGCAGGGCCGAAATCTGTGTACAATGACAAAATTCAAAACCCTTGAGAATGAGGACAAACCACTTGTTTTGAAGGAACTTAGAAAATTATGGGATAAGCAATTACCTAACATTCCATGGAAGAAGGGAGAGTATGATGAATCAAACACACTTTTGTTGGATGATTCTCCATATAAGGCTTTGCGAAATCCTGTGAGTTTTTAACTGTTTTCTGTATTTGCTTATCGCTTATATTTCACTTCAGAATGTTGAAACTCAAATAATGCTCTAATGCTAGCTTCAATTTTTTCATTGGTAGGCAAATACTGCTATATTTCCATATCCTTATCAATACACAGATGCTGCAGATTGTTCATTAGGTGAGACATGAACTTGCATGTTTTAGGGAATTTAAGGTACACAAACAGGTTGACCACGATATAGTATCTAAGCCTTCACAGGGACATTGTTTTTATCTTATCTTTTTGGCCCTTTCACAATATAGAAAAAGTAATGGCTGATCTTGTTAAATAGATTCTGTAGATCTTACCCTTACCTCTATTGAAACCATGAACTTGTTGGGTGAAAATACCTTCTTTCTTGTTAGGGAACTGTGTTATAAAGCTGCGCTCATATGGAGCACTGTAATTGCACAACCAGTTACCAGTCATTCCCAACGTAAATAATATTGGTTCACGTTACAGATTTACCTTTTAAGTTTGCATTGACGGTCATCTGTAGTGTACCTAATTCCTCCCCCATCTTATTATTCCTTGTGTGCACATTTTTTCATAATCTTCATTTTTAAATAATGTATTCAATAGAACCTGGAGGAGATCTTCGAATATATCTTGAACGGTTAGCTGAAGCAGATAATGTGCAGAAGTTCATTGAGCAAAATCCATTCGGGCAACCAGCTATTACAGAGGCAGATCCACATTGGGATTTCTATTCTCAAATTATAGAAAATGAGACATTGCAAGCTCGGTAATTTCCCGTTTCGCTTCTTTACATTTAAGTCTCGAAATAGCATCTTTTGAAAATTATATTACCTGAACTGTATTTAGAGTTTGTGTTCTGTTGTTAGCAGAAACTTTTGGCTCATTCATTTGGTAATTGCTGATGATCATAGAACCTTAATTGGCCTTTCATGGGTCGGCTTTCTCTTTGAGATGGCATTCCTTCTATAGATAACTCTCTATTCACTTAAATATTTTTGATGTAATGTGTGATAAATATTTTTGCAGGTTGTTTGTTTGTGGTTTGGAGTTTATCTTATTTTCTAATGATCTTTAAGAATTTTGACTTCATAAGAATTTTGTATTCCTTACCTTGCAATTCTTGTTTATGACCTGTGGAAAATTTTAAATTTCTTGTTGTTTTAGTTGGTCTCCCAGAAATCAGAGAAGCAGGAGCAGGTCTCCCAGAAACCGAAGAAGCAGGAGCTGGTCTCCCAGAAACCGAAGAAGCAGGAGCAGATCTCCCGGAAACCAGAGTAACAGGAGCAGGTCTCCTGGAAACCAGAGTAGCAGGAGCAGGTCTCCCGGAAAACAGAGTAGCAGGAGCAGGTCTCCCAGAAACCGAAGAAGCAGGAGCAGGTTTCCCGGAAACCGGAGTAGCAGGAGCAGGTCTCCCGGAAATCAGAGAAGCAGGAGCAGGTCTCCCAGAAGTCTGAGGAGCAAGAGCAGGTCTCCCAGAAGTCTGAGGAGCAGGAGCAGGTCTCCCAGAAATCGGAGAAGCAGGAGCAGATCTCCCCATTTTAAGCATACAGATGAATTCAGTGGTGAAAATAAGAGATTGGTGAAGGGACAGATGCCATTCTGTTTTCACTTCCGTCGAGGCAAGTGCTACCGTGGAATGTCTTGTCGTTATTTGCACCATGATTCAGGCAAGAGTTACGAATCAAGGTGGGAAAGGAGCAAACAGCAGTATCTGGAGTTGCCTCATACTTCTAGGACTAACAATGCTTGTGAAGAGATCAGGCAGAGTTCTGAGAAAAGAGAAGATTCTGGTGATGTAGGTGCCCATTTTCAAGATAATCAATCGAATGAGTATCACATGGTTAAGTCTGCTAGATCTAGAGACACCCCGACCTCTTTATTTGAAACACATTTGTTAGAAAATAAGCAGGAAACGCCTAATCCTTTCGGTTATGAGAATTGTCTGAGAAGCAGGGGCAGATGTCCTAGTTTTAAGTGTACAGATGAATTCAGTGGTGAAAATAAGGGACAGGTGAAGGGACAGATGCCATTCTGTTTTGACTTCAGTCGAGGCAAGTGCTACCGTGGAGTGTCTTGTCGTTATCTGCACCATTATTCCGGAAAGAGCTATGAATCGAGGTGGCAAAGGAGCAAACAGCAGCATCTGGAGTTGCCTCATGCTTCTAGGACTAATAATGCTCGTGAAGAGATCAGACAGAGTTCTGAGAAAAGAGAAGATTTTGGTGATGTAGGTGTTCATTTTCAAGATAATCAATCTAATGAGTATCTCATGGTTAAGTCTGATAGATCAAGAGGCATCCCGGCCTCTTTATTTGAAACACACTTGTTAGAAAACAAGCTGGAATCACCTAAACCTGTCAGTTATGAGAATTTTCAAGAAGCAGCTGCAAAATCTCAAAATCTATCAACTATTGATAGCTCCTCAGTTGGCAATATGGATACGCTAAAGCCATGTGGTAATGCTTCTCAGGAAGTACTTATTTCTTTCTCCAATCCTTTAGATCCAGTGTGTCAAAATGCTAATTGCCAACCTCCACAATCAGATAACCATGTCTGATTCATTACCATGTAAATCTTCAACTTCCCCACTAAATAGACTTCCAGAAAGTATTGTTCATCCACATGCAATTTAGCTCCATAACCATCCTTTCCATATATCCCCTTCCGTCCTATGCTCACATGTTAAAGATAATCCACATACGAAAGAGGAGCAAACTTCATCTTCTATGTTTAATCTTCTGGGGAAAGCGTTCCATCTTACATGTTACCTTGCCAAGAGTCTAATTTTGCTTACAGCCAAATTTGTCTTTAACTTACTCACCTTCATCTCCATCTCCACCACAATTACTGGATTTAACCGCAACTTCCACCATTTCTTCATTTTTTCAGCGGAGTTACTTTCCTCAGAGGAATGATTTTGGTTCCCAGATTATCCCTAGACCTTATCTTACTGAATTGCATGCCTGTTCTCAAGCTGATGGGTTTCAACAGCGAGCCTATCCACCAATTCAGGATGTTAATCAACCTATCTTGCAGGCTTCTTTGCCTGTTTTGTAACCTGCCTGGAGCTCCTAGTTTGTCGAGAGATGATGGCTTAACACAACCTCCAATACGGAATATTATTGCTTCAAATTTTCCCAGGGCAACACTCATCGTCATACTTCTGCCCTGTACAAAACAGTTGCTGGGAAACAAAATGCAACCAGGTGGATTTCTTACTCATCTTCATATATTTATCACTATGCCCAGCAGCAACCACCACACAGTTCATACCACCCTATGACTGATGGTATTTATAATCTTGGTGGAAAGATGATTCTTCTTTGTAAGTTCCACCAAATATTGGGGACACATCATCCCACCGAGTTGACATTTGGAGGATCGAGTAGTTCAATTCATAACCCAAATACATGTACTCTTGTTCAGCCATTGAACACCAAACACATTTCCGATATTCTCCAGCAAGAAAAAGATATAGCCTACAGTAAGACTCCTTTCAGCTTGGCTCATCATCCTCTTTTTGATAGCATTGAGCCATCTTTTTGTTTATCGAGAAATAAATATGTATTCCAATGTTGGAAGTAACAAGTGACTGACATTTTATTGGGGCTTAGGTGTTCCAACATACCACTGAGAATGGCTAATAGTGATGTGTAGATAAGTCTGCAGGGAAGAGCAAAGATTCCAGATACATGAAGCATTTAGAGGATGTTCTGCCTGCCCTTTCGTTTGCATTTTTTTTTTGATGTTTCATTTTTGTTGGATTGTATCTCTTTCTGTCTGGGATCATTTGATCCTCACTAGGGGCTTACTATTTAATGAAATGTACTAATAGTGAAAAGTAACATCTTTCTATCGGTTGTCTCAATCTAAAATTAGTGTTTTTTAGTCTTAAAATTAGGTTGTCGTCTGTTAGACTTTCCCGTATATATGTCAAACTAATTGGTTTTTGTGTTTGGGTATTTAATAAGTATTTAAAGTAATTTGTCAGTTTTATTGGTTGATTCGAGTAACAATTTTAAAAGTTAAAAATTGACGGAAATAATTGACTAAACCGAGTAACAAGTCGAGCATACTCAAACATATTCTTCTTTTATTAGAGGATTAGGGTTGAAAATTGGCCTCATTGCAGTACTGAAATCTACACTTTGAGAAACGAAGCAAAAATGTAGGACGAAAAATGGGGAAGGCAATTCTTTGATAGATGAAAAGAAGGTAAGTGATTCTCATTGGGATCCAAAATGAGTGTTAGTTTGGAATCTGGGTTGAAGAAGAAAGCTGAAAGTTCAGGTTTAGGGATTCTGGAAAATTGTAGTTTAGGGTCTCGATTGAAGGATGGTGAATTGAATGAACAATCGGCACGTTCAGATACGAAACAAAAGAGGAGGAAGAAGAAGAGTAAGGCGGGTATATTTGGGGAATTTGACAGCTTGAATTGGGATTCAGTTATAGAGTTGAATGACAAGGAAGGAGATTCTTTTATGGATGAAAAGAAGGCAAGTGATTCTCATTTGGAGTCCAAAACCAAAAATTTTAGTTTAGTCTCCAATGGAAGGGACGCAGTTGAATGAACAGTTGGAGAGGAAAAGGAAGAAGGGGAAAGGAAAGAAGATAAGACTTAGTATTGTTGAGGAAAAAGGTATTAGCACAAAGAACAATGGCAAGGACAGTAATGAAGCTGAAAACAACAATATGCCTTCTGAACCCATTAATGGAAAGTATTCAAGGAGGATCTTATGTCTATATCAGAAGCCGTAGAGTCACAATATATGAAGAAACTTTCTTTGATAACTGATAAGGAATGTGATTCTCCTGTAACTGCAAGTACCGGATCGGTGGAAACTCAAAATTCCCTTGTTGATGGAGATAGGGAAACCTTTGAGATAGGGAAGAAGGCAAAAAACATATCACAAGAAAAGGAAAGAGTCTTCTAATTTGGAACATATACAGACTTCAGTTGACCATTTAGAAAATGGATCCATCGGAGTACTCGTCGGGCAAGCTATGCCTGTTCATGTTTCGGAGGTAGCATTGGGAAATAGCACAAGCACTGAATCTGATCTCAAAGAAAGAAAAAGAAAGAAACAAAAGGAGTCTTTGTGCAAAGATGAAGAGATTGAATCCAAGACAGATGAAGTTTTCCCCTCTCCCTTGAACTTGGCTGTCACAAAAGATGATGTTACACTAACAGGTAATGTTTCTCCTTCGAACTTGGCTGTTGCAAAAGATGATGTTACACGAACAGCTAAGGCCTTGGAAGTGCCACTGGGCAACAACAGAGGCACAGAACCTGATCTGAAAGGAAGAAAACGAAAGAAACAAAAGCAGTTGAAGGAGTCTTTGTGCATTACCCGTCCTCAGAAAAAGCTTCTTGTTCTTGGTTTAAATAGAATTCTTGTAGATGTTGTTCCAATACCATGTAAACACAAGCCACATGCTAGTTTCAATCTTTTTTCAGGTATCGTTCTTTTTCCCTTTCTTATTTTCTCTCCTTTTTCTTTTTCTGTAAACCCTAAGTTTTTAATACAATTTATAGTCACTGTGTAAATTTTGTATGGGTTATTTACTTGCTTGGTTATGGTCATTTTGTTTAGGTTTATTTAGATACTTTTGCTAAATATATGTATAATTTATTTTTACTTATTTATTATATTTTCTTTAATATTTGTGTTTAGTATGAGTTAATATTAGGAAATATTTATATAGATATATATATATATATATATATTGGTTAATAGTCACTATTATTTATATTATTGTGTGATTTGGTTAAGCTTAATTATGTTATAGACGTTCACTTTACTCAATAGGTACTTTAAAATTTTATTTCATTTTTATTACTTTTATTTATTATTTTTATAACGTTCAATATGTTAAGGTATTTTTAATAATTAACTATATAGGTTTTAGATGAACAAAGTATGATTTACTTTATACTCATCTCAATATAATTTGGTGTTAATTCAAAGATAGAATATACTTTATAGATGAAAAATATACGAGATAGCCTTCCCGATGGAGGATTGCAAATCTCGGGATTTCTCACCAAGTTAAGTATTTCTATTATTTTAATTAATATTCAATAAATAAATCATAATTGATTTATCATTCTATTTTTTTAATTTTTATTGTATTAATGATCTCTATGTTAATATTAACAATACATGTTTTAGATAAATTAAGTATGATTTATTTTATACTATGGTCGATATAATTTGGTGTTAATTCAAAGATAGAATATACTTTATAGATGAAAAATAGACGAGATAGCTTTCCCGATGGAGGATTGCAAATCTCGGGATTTAATGCAAGTTTAAAGGGTTATGCTCAGCTCGATCCTAGCATTGGGAATCTCTCCTGCCTCTTGACCGGAATATGCGATATTTATGCGTTTTTCCATGCCTGGTTACTTCCTTGATCTCTCATTAAATATTCTTTGACTTGGTCCTTCTGATCTACCCCGAGAGAGTTTATCTTGCCTCTTAGATTCTTTGGTCATTGATTGATTTTTTTCTGAGAAAATTCACTCAGAATGGTCCCTCCTTGTTGCATGTCTTTATATTGTGACTTCTTTGCTTGAGAAAAGTATGATTATGTTGAAACTGATTTCTTTAATCTGAACCCTTTTTTCAATGGTTTGCTTAATGATTTATGGGAGCGTGTCTTTGTATGTGTTCTCTGGTGAACACCTGTTTCAAAATCCCCATACTCTGACACTTTTCAGAGTAAGGCATAATAACCGATGTTGTTATTGATTAGTAATTTGGTGAATATATGCGAGGACATTGAATCAAATTCAAAAATTTCACTGAAGATAGGTAATGAGAAAGTACAATCTTTTGGGACAAGAAAACAAGTAAATACAAAGGAAGAACAAAGGATAAATATAGTGAATATCAAATGCTGAGTCCTTCTATTTCTTCACCCCAAATCTTTCTCGAAAGTTGACATGTGTTTCGAAGATTCAGATCGTACAAAAGATGTGTGAGCATGAGAGTCTTTCCCTAAACTGTTAGGCTTCCGAGGGAATCCACCATTTCAATTTCTGATTATTCGAGCCGTCCATTACGGATTTTCAACTCGAATCCTCCTTTGGTTTCAAGATGCCCATTTTGGGTTTTCATCTTGAACCCTCCTTTTTTTTAAGTGTAATATCGTTTAACCGAATCGGAATTCACGGGATTAGGCAAATCCTCTCCATCCATTTCTGTTAACACCAAAGCTCCTCCGGAGAATGCCTTTTTTACAACATAGGGACCTTCCCAGTTCGGCATCCACTTCCCTCGAAAGTCTTTTTGCATAGGTAGGATATTTTTTAGCACCATATCGCCTTCACGAAATTCTCGAGGTCTAACTTTCTTGTCATATGCTCGTATCATCCTTTTCTGGTACATTTGGCCATGGCAGATAGCTCTCAGCCTTTTCTCCTCAATCAAATTTAATTGATCAAACCTACTTTGTACCCAATCAGCCTCGTCCAGTTTCAACTCCATCAATACTCTTAAAGAAGGTATTTCCACCTCAACAGGTAAAACTGCTTCCATCCCATATACCAAAGAGAATGGTGTTGCCCCAGTAGATGTACGAACGGACGTGCGATAAGCAAGCAACGCAAAAGGTAATTTCTCATGCCAGTCTCTATATGTTTCAGTTGCTTTTGTGATGATCTTCTTGATGTTTTTATTCGCTGCCTCTACTGCCCCATTCATTTTTGGGCGATAAGGAGCCGAATTGTGATGTTTGATCTTTAACTTTGTGCAAACTTCCAACCATGTCATCTACCCTTAGACGACCAGACTTCCTCATCACGTAGGAGCCGTGTCAACCTTAGATAATCAGCCGTCCTCATTACGTAGGAACCTAGTTATCACTCTTCTTAAAGATAACCAGAACTCTTCATCGCGTATGAGCCGTGTCATCCCTTGACCAGATTTCCTCATCACGTAGGAATCGTGTCTCCCTTAGACGACCAGACCTCTTCATCATGTATGAGCAGTGTCGTCCCCAACAACCAGCATTATCCAATTTCTATGGAAAAGGGGAGAACCAGACAAAAACGTGTTGTCTTGTCGTCTTGCCCTATTCTTGTTAACACAAGTATGTGCAAAGAGGGGCAGCTGTAGACACCCGTTTTTGTCCGGGTCTTTTATATTTATTTTTTATTTTATTATTATTAACTATTATTATTATTATTATTTTTAATTTTACATATTACACTTTTGCAGGCTTTGAAGCCCAATTCAAATTACAAAGGCCCAATCCTGGAGCCCAACATTCAACAGACCCCTCAGCCACACTTGAACCAGTCCAGGCCCAACACCCAAACCCGCTAGGGTTACCCCTTCTCTGCCTCAGCGCCGCACCATCAAGACCGTCTGATCTGGACCCATCCAATGGTCCAGATCAAAGGCCATTTAGGTCTGAAACCCTAACCCTAGTTCTGAGCCCTAACAGCTCAGCCACCAGCCGCCTCTTGGCTTTCCATCTTCCTCTGACGCCGCCACCATCACTGTTCCGGTCTGACCCCAACTGTTTCACTATTGTCATCTACAGCAAAACCAATCAAGAAAATATATCATATACAGTTCAAATCTCACAAAATCTAAACTCCAAATTAAAATACCAATAAATCCCTAAATATTCGGGATTTCTATCCCACGAAATCAGAAAAAAGCCATGCCCTACACTAGGTATCATCATCTCACCAAATACTCAACATAAATCAAGGGAACGAAAGGAGAGAGGAAATAAAAGAAAATACAGAGAGAAGATTGGGGTTTACAGAAAAAGAAAAAGGAGAGAAAATAAGAAAGGGAAAAAGAACGATACCTGAAAAAAAAACCGA